TCAGAAACACCTGCTCCTAGCCTGGGAAGTCCTAACAGGCCCACAGGCACACTGTATATGTGATGTGGGGGAGGGGACATACTCCTCCTTACCCACGTAGATATAGCTAGCACCAGCTATAGGCCATCTCTTCAAAACCCAATGGGTTGCAGAGGGACCACTCTGAGAAGGTAAAGTAGTCCTGTAACCTCTCCACAGATAGCAAAAATAGAATTAGAAAACAGAAAGAAACATGGAAGAAACTTAACCTTATGTATTTCATAGCCAATAGTCTCAAAATTTATTTTATTAAGTGATGGACAAATAACTTGGAAACATTTTGCCCCTAAAACGTGTTTAAAACAAAGGACTGCAAGAGCTTATATTCTTTAAGGACTTTAGGAGTTCTATTCAAAAATAATCATTAGAAAGCTTAAATGAAGGAATGGTGATATAAAAAAGACTAATATTAGATGTTGGTTAGTGTCACATACATATTTACTAAAAGTATAAAAGGATCAAATGATAAACACCAAATTCAGGACGGAGGTATACATAAGACGGGGAAGGGATGTATAGGCTTCAACTGTACTGGCTTTAATTTTTAGACCAGGTGGTGAATAAATGGTATCCCCTATACTGTATTTCATGGATGCACATTTTACCAAATCTGAAATTGGCATGTGCCCTACAATCATGCCATAGTTTCAACAGTAGGATTTCCTTCTTTGTGAGACATAAAATAAGGATTCCCCTCCCAATCCGTGGCATCTTACATGTGTATGGAATATGGTATTATTCATTACATCCTCTGTATTCCTTAGATTGCAAAATAAATTAAAAACTCGTGTACTTGGGTTGCAATAAAGACACACAAATCCTAACTGATTTAATAAGATAACCAATTTATCTGAGAAATTCAGGCTTTGGGGAACATAAGGGCTCAAAGATTAAAAAAAAAAAGTTAAAGGGAGTAAGAATTGGATCTGGGCCTTTAAGAATTTAAGGCTTCAGCGAGGACCTGTCCTGGGGTATTTAAGGGCAATAGTACAGCAAAGGTAAAATTACTAGTGAAAATGATACATTCGGAGAACTGTGGAGGGCTTTGTTTATTAAGAGACAATAAACATTTTATGTGTATTGAGACTACATCAGTCAGCAATATATATAACAGGAAGGGGGAAAGGAGAGATAAAAATAGAAGCCACCTAGAAGACAATATATTTCACATGGCGGATAATGAAAGCTTGGACCAGAGTGACAGCAATGGGAATAAAAAAGAAACAGAAGAGAGATTTCTGTTGAATACCTAATTATCAAGAAGGCTGAGGCAACAGATTTAAGAATAGTTTCACCTCAACCATCTCAAAATATTTTAATTGAAAAAAATAGTATAAAATAATTAGACCGGACCAGTGGGTGTCAACCCAGATGCATATAAAAAATACCCATGGAGGGAACCGAGGGTGTAAGGGAGATATGTGTGTAAGTATCAAGGCTGGGACTGAAAACCACTGCCTTAAGCATTTGCTGCATCCATAAGGTCATCAAATGCCCAAAGGAAGGACCTGTTTAACGAGTTCCAGAGAGACTAGAAGAGACTGCCTTCTTCAGATTCACCAGGAATGGAACCCGGGTGGAATTTGAAGAGGAATATCAAGATTAACCACTACTTCTTTCACCCAGTCCTAGATAGTATTAAAACAAGAACAATTCCATCACCTTCAGGGATGGCACCTAGCAGTAATAATGAATCCCAACATACATTCAATCAACAATCATTACTTTGTGAGGAAAGTCTCTGACAGAAAAACTGATATAGTCCTTTCCCTATAGGAACACCAGTCTGGCAGGGGTGACAGACAATATTAGGTCCCAACTGAGAGGCGGGAGCAACCAGTTAGTTGTCCAAGGAGCTAAATCTTGTTGAAAAGATCAATTTGGGGTGGGAGGATACATCAGAAATTCCAAGTAAAGGAATTAGCATGTATAAAAAGACATATTTCATTTTATACTATCCATACATTTTTTCTTTTTTTTTTTAAGATTTTATTTATTCGGCAGAGAGAGACACAGCGAGAGAGGGAACACAAGCGGGGGAGTGGGAGAGGGAGAAGCAGGCTTCCCACGGAGCAGGGAGCCCGATGTGGGGCTCAATCCCAGGACCCTGGGATCATGACCCGAGCCGAAGGCAGACGCCTAACGACTGAGCCACGCAGGCGCCCCCACACATTTTTTTCTATATGTACTCCAGAAACACTGTATATCAAGTATCATTTAATACTACTGTCCTAGAGGTTAAAGCACAAATCTACAACATAAGTAGATGTTGAGGACTTAAAACCTACTTAACGTTGATCAATAAATTTTCAGATACTATCACGTTTAAACAGTGCTATTTATTTCCCCAGAGAAATTCATATACTCCCATTCTTACAAATTACAGATGATAAACTCCATAATGGAAATATGAGTCTACAAAGTCAGATGCAAAGAAATTTTTCACTTTCACTATAAAACGAAAGTGCAAAAAATACCCAAAAACAAATGAGATGAAGAACTTGCTCAAAATAGGTCAATTTACTTTCAATTGGATTAACTGTTCCTATCTAACTTGTGAGCTAGTTCTGATCTGTACAAAGGATTACAGCAGTCAGAAAACATTTCTAGCTGAAGTATTAATAAATAAAAATAGTTGAATGTGAAGAAATAAGGACATTATCAACAGGAGACTTCCTTGATTCCAAATTAGTCACTCAGAAAACTGATCCTGCTTGCCGGCATTGTGGAGGATTACCTTACCTTCTAGACCAATTAAAAGCTGACACCACAGCAGGGATCCACCCAATTTTTGGGATAGTTTAGTGCATGACGGGATATGCAGTTTTTAGGAAAGCACATGCAACAATTTAAAGTAGACCCCTGTAGTCACAGAAGCACCACCCAGTTTTGATACAACCCCATCCAGCCACTCTAAATACACCCCTTCAAAGTTAACAGCAAGGTTATATGATTGGGAAGAGTAGTTTCTAAGATGGAATGTGACTTCTGCAGATGTATAAGGAAAGACCACCTGTGATGTGTAATCAGTACTACCAGTTGGCCACAGGAATGCCTGCACATAAAATCTGTCACAAGATGAAAACAAAATTTGTTGCCTCTAACACATCTCTCTGGTTCAGGTGGTCTTCATTACCAGACTTCTTCTAGTATTACCTCCAGCATGGTGGCTGAACCCTTGCTGAGTAAAGACCAGAGTTGGAAGCAAGTAAAAGTTATACACCAACTTTGTTTTACTGATACTTTTGAATACAAATCATTTTTAATTAAAGGTATTGTGGCAGGAGGAAAAAAATTAAGTACTGTAATCAGCATGAATATATTGAACCATCCCAAGCCTGAAAATAATCATGGCTCTCTGAGGTAAAGATTTGGGAGTTAAAACAAAACAAAACAAAACAAAAAACAGACCAAAAAAAAAACCTTTCAGGTCTACTGAGTCAGAAATCCTATTTGCTCTGTCCTCCTACCCCCAACTTTCAGTTATATCACCCTGAAGTGGACTATTTCTCCCCACACTGATTACTTTCTCACTGGAGTCTTTTTGGGCATTCTTCCTAATTAAAACTGACACTTCAGACAGATTTCTGACGGCATTTCTCTTTTCACCTGCTCTTTTTGACGGGATTCTGCCGGTGCTGAAATGGGATCAGCTTAAAGGAGAAAGTGTGCACCATGCGATGGACTAAAATAATTCCCGGCCTCAAGAAAGCATTTATGACCATTCTGCAGCCACTGAGTGACCTTGGCTAGGAACCAATGGCTGCGGGGCGTGGGGCAAGAAGAAAGGAAGTACTCTGGGGGCCCAGGGCCTCTCCTCTCTGCACTTGGTGAAACGTTCGCTTCCGATATAAGGCCTTGGGATGCCTCGTTTGTAGGATGGAGAGCATTAACACTGACTCAGCCAGAGACTGTAAAGATACCGTTTGTCGGATGGAGAGCATTAACACTGACTCAGCCAGTGAAGATATCAATCTAAGCGGGGTAGGGGGTGGTTAAACCCTCAGCAAATAGGAAGTGCCGCAAGAGCAACGAGGTAAGGATGTGGCCCTACGTGAGCGGGGCCTTCGGGTTTTCTTCCCGGGTCTCGCTCGCAAGCGATCAGCACCGACTTCTCCGCTCTTGCCGAAGCAGCTCGGCTCACCCGGGGTAGGAAATTTGCCGGCTGCAGCCGGGCCTGCTGATATGGTGGAGGGCGCCAGCGCTGCGTAGGCCCAACCGTTCCCGCGCCTTCGCCCCCGGCCCAGCCGTCCCTCCCTCCCTCCCTCCCTCCCTCCCGCGCCCCGGCTTAATGGCCTCACCAAGGGGCGAAGAACTCGACGAGCATGAGGCCCGCAGAGCCTGTATCGGAGATGCGACTCTCGAAGTTGTCGTCAGTGAGTTCCAGCACGTCGGAGGCAGAGGCGAGACCGGCCGCGGCGAAAAGCAGCGCCACGCCGGGGAACAGCGCTCGGCAGCGGGGGCGCATGGCTACGAGGTAAGGTTAGGGGCGGCCGGGAGGGTCGGGGGCTCGGCGGGGATGCGGAGGCCGGCCACAACCACGCACCCTGTGCCTGCGCTCGCGCGTCTGGCCCAGGCGGACCTGCAGCCGGAGGTCCCAACCCCCCAGCCCGGCTCGGGCCGCAGTGTGGCAGCCGCCGATTGGCTGCGAGGCGCCTGCGTCGGGCGGGCGGGACCAGCTGGTAACCGCCGAGTGGCCGGAGCGCGGGGCGGGGCCGAGGCGGCGGGCGCCGGGGCTAGCCGGGCTGGGAGGGGTCCTGGGCCGGGGGCTGGGGCTGGGCCCGCCGGCGAGCCGGAACCCAGGGAGCAAGTGTCGTGGAGCGGGGCGGGGCCGAGCGGAGCGGGGCGGGGCCGAGCGAGAAATGGGGCGCCGCGGAGCTGGGAGCCGACACCCTGAGCTCATCTTTCGTGGGGAGAGCTGAGTTCTGGGGGCGCCAGAGCCGCAGGCGGAGACGTGAAATCAGGGCTGAGTGGGCGGAAGAGAGCCTCCGCTGAGGTGAGGCCCAGAAGCGGGAATTGAGAGGTGGAGCCTGCACCCGAGGGACGTAGTTGGGACGGGACAAGTTTTCCAAATGTCAGGCTGCTGCAATTTGTCCAGGTCCTCTTGGTTTGTCTTTCAGAGGCAGCCCTAAGTCCTCCCACTGCCCCTCCTCATTGCACTGCCTAATTACCTCAGGTCCAGGTGCTGCTCCGATTTCCTCTTTGTCCAGCCCCGGGACTCCTGCCCTGTGACTGCTACTTTTAAATTAGAAACGCTGTCACACAAGTGAAGGTGCCTGGCCACTTAGTCTACTGCGCAATGTCTCTCTTACGACTCTTAGCTCCTTTTGTTTCAAAAAAACTTTGAGTCTTGGTACAATGTGTTTGACTTCTTTAAGGGCAAAGAGGGTGGGAGAAGGGGAAATAAACCTCTAATCTTTCGTGCCTCTCCAAGAATGAAATGATACTTGGTTTTTCCATTATTTTAACAGACATGGCCACCAGTCACCCAACAGGACACGTGCAACTCCCCCGAGCTGATGCCATTCGTTCACGTCTCATTGATACTTTCTCTCTCATCGAGCATCTGCAAGGCTTGAGCCAAGCTGTACCACGACACACTATCCGAGAGATAGTTGGTCAGCAGCCTGTTTCTTAACTAGCATAAATTTAAGACTCCTCACCACACCCTCCAAAGAGTAGAAAGCAGAGAGACTATTTTAAGGGTGAAAAATTCAGGGAAGATTGGCTTGGTTGCTAGTTTGTAAATGATATCAAACTTGATAAATCAAAGGCTTTGTAAATAAAGCTCTTTGAAACCAGGAGGTAGAACCCATGCCCCTCACTTTTAGGCTTAGGATAACTACTAGCCCTGGCTGACTTGGAAGTTTCTACGAAAGACACTGAAAACTTTGAGGACTGAACCTGCTGCCTTTATTCTTAGGCATGGACAGTGTTGGTCATAAGTGATATATTAGCTCTTATTCCAAACTAATGTTAACTGCTGTGAGAAAGAACAGCAAGGCAAGCCTCTGCACTAGGGGACCCATTATGTAACCAGTATCCCTGCCCCTGGTCCTGCCTGTTCTTCCTATCCCCCAGAGATTTCTCTTTATATTTATCCACTGTCCCCTCTTAATTTTTGGTGTAGATCCTTCCAGTCAAAAGAAGGTTATGTTGGGAGATCAACACCAGCTTGTGCGCTTCTCCATAAAGCCTCGACATGTAGAACGAATTACACATGGCCGGAGGCTGATGAGCAGGCTTCAAGTGCGCTACAGTCAGAGGCCACCTCTTTCCTTGTGGGCTGGATGGGTCCTTGAGTGTATCCTTTCGTGCCCCTCACTTTTATCCCATGCCTTTAACTGTCTCTCTTGCCTCATCATCTGCCTGAAGACTGATTTTCCCATTTCCAAACTCCATTTTCTTCTGATCCTCACTGGTTCTATTCTTGCCCTTATTATTTCACCTGTATAAGAAAGAATTCCACTCCGTATGTTTCCTTAAGAGAAAACAGGTCCTCTCTTCACAAACTTCATCATCTTTCTCATCTTTTTGAATACAATTGTACTGATGGTTGAAATAGGTGAGAACTGACATTGAATGGAAGAGGAAGTGGCTATGGGTCATTTTTCCTATAAATTGATCATTTTTTATTTTTGGCTGTTACTTGAATTGTGATAGGGACAATTATATTAAGTCTCCTGGAGTAAGATTTGTGCAACTGCTAAGACATGGAAATATATGGAGGGCTCTCAAGAGAGTGGTAGATATAAAGTAGTCTAGACACATAGTGTAATAGACTCATGGGAAACCAAAGATGTAAAGACCAGTTATATTTCTGTGTCAGTTTAGTTTAATAGTTGTTTAAATTAGCCTTTTGTATTAGAGATATTGGTGCCCATCGGTGAGTGATGCAACACTTATATATTTTACAAGTATGTTAAATATTAAGTACAAATAAGAAAGCTCACAAAGTATATAAAGCTAGATACAACTAAAATATTAGATGAGCCAAAAAATGACTTAAAGAGTAAATGATTCTAAAATCAGTTCTAAATTATATGAAATGTATTAAAAGCAAAAAAATCTGGAAAATGAATGAGCTCATTTGATTATCACCTCAAACAAACTGCTCAGAAATGATGAAAAGGACTTCCTTGTTTCATCCTCATTGTTTCGGGGAATTTTCCTACTTTATTATAGTCTTTTAATGCAATCAGGTCAAAGATATTTAAATATACAACAATTCTCGATATCACTAACCCACTACAGTATACTATATACTTTGAGGTATTTATTTTTTTTTAGAGAGAGAGAAAGAGAGTGTGCACACATGTGTAGACAGGAGGGGCAGAGGGAGAGGAAGAGAGAGAGAATCTTAAGTAGGCTCCACGCCCAGCGTGGAGCCCGACTTGCAGCTCGGTGTGGGGCTTGATTTCACAACCCTGAGATCATGCCTGATCAAGAGTCAGATGCTTAACCAGCTGAGGCACCCAGGTACCCCTATACCTTGAAGTATTTTATTTTCTCCCCATTGTGGTGAGGATTTTGAGCTAAGTCACCCACATTTCCTATTTCTTTTATGATAACTGGCATGTATTTGCCTTGTGGTGTTAAGGGTATAGTCTTAAGCCTTGGAATAAAGTAAACAGCAATAAATATACAGGATTTCCTGGATCTAATGGACAAATCAAAATAGAATAGCACTAACCATTCTAGTTGGTAAAACAGTTGGATATGAAACATGATCACTGTGCCACAGAATAGGTGGATTGCTTGAATGGAAATTATCTGGCAAGTTCAGCAAAATTGTATCTTATTAAGTACATTCTCATGGTAGAAAGGCAGGAGGGATTTTGCAAAGGCAAAAATTTGTGACTAACAGATTTCTTTGAACAGACTAATTCATGTGATAAACATTAAGACTGTTTAGGCTTTTAAAAAAACAATTTTCCAGATCATAGAGAATGTTGTTACAGATAGGGGAAAAAAAATAATAGTTAACAAACAGTTCTCTAGATCAAAGCTCCCCAATCTTTTTTTTTTTTTCTTTTAAAGAGTGTACACATACCTGGCAGGGCGGCGGGGGGGGGGGGGGGCGGCCGTTGGGCAGAGGGAGAGAGGGAGAGAGAATCTTAAGCAGGCTCCAAGCCCAGCCCAGGGCCTGACACGGGGCCCCTTCTCATGACCCTGAGATCATGACCTGAGCCAAAATCCAAGAGTCAGATGTTTAACCAACTGAGCCACCCAGGCGCCCCATCCCTAATCTTTTTGGTCTTGTGATTTTGTTTCCCAGTTATACAGCTATAAACTTGAAAACCTCCTTAGGAGTTTAATCATTCCATTAGTTTTATATGATATAAAGAAGCAAATTGAAGTAGAAGTAATATTTTCGACTTGAATATTATTAAATATTTTATTTTAATGTGTATAATTTTTTAGCACATTTTTACTTTTGCCATTTTGTAAGTGATTCATGCTGTTTTTAAAGTAAATATATGATTTGCCCATAAATGAATTTTTAAAGGCCATTAATATATTGTTTGGCTCAGGGATCAAATATATTTATTTTATGTATTGTGTTTTTTGATTTAAGTTTTTGTTCTTTTTTAAAAATTGAGATATAATTGACATATATTAATTTCAGGTTTACAACATTATGTAGTATATGTTAAGTACATATTATATGTTAAGGTGTAGGTGGAAATTTATGTGTTAGGGTATAAAAAAGAAAAAAATCTACTTTCACAATGATATTGGTAATTCTACTTTTCATTTTAAACATCAATTTGGCTTATTTTTATAATTTTCACATTTTGTTTCCAAATGATGAGAGGGAGAAAAGAAAGAAGATTTGACTCATTTACAATCCATTTTCTGAAAATAACACATTGCAAGTGTGAATAGTCCTTATTTCCAACAAAAAAAAAATCATGTATAACATCATTATAATTTTTTACATTGATTTTGAGGTTCTAGAGATATCTTGATGTTCTATATATGAATAATTCTGCAAGTTTATCTCAAGATGAACTTCATCAGATTCTATAAATTGCATTCATCTGATCAAAAACTTTATACAGCATTAGTGTTCCTTACTTCATTGTGTATATAATGAGCCAAATCTTTCTTTTCTCTCTCTCATCATTTTTTTTAAAAAATACATGATTTGTGCACAAATGAATTTTTAAATGACATTATATGTTTTTGGTGTGGGGATCAAATATATTTTATGTATTATATGTTTTTATTTTTATTTTTTGTAGTATATATTTTTAAATTTAATATTATGGGTATAACCAGCCAAAAAACAATTACAATTTCAAACTGTTTAAGTGTCAAAATTGACAGCAGTTTGTGTTGTTCAGAGTGATTGAATATGTTCTTCTAATCTCCATTAACTGCCAAGGATATCAGTCATAGTGCATTTGGAGGCTCTCAGACTGTTCTGTTTCAAAGGGAAACTATTAAATTATTATTTAGCTTTTAAGCCTATTTTGATTTCAGTGTTTTTTTTTTTCTACAGCGTGGTATACATCCATTAAATGCATGAAAGAAATGAAGAGGGTTGAAAGATGAAGGCAATAAGTTGAGGAATAGCAATTAGCAGATAATAGGGTTTTAGGGAGAATGTATAGGATTTAATTTGCTTTGCAGGACAAAATCAGTTTTAGAGAAGAATGGGAAAGTTTTAAAAACTAACAAGTAAAGAACCAAATAATTTTTTTAAAAGATTTTATTTAATTATTTGCCAGAGAGAGAGAAAGAGAGCACAAGCAGGGGAAGCGGCAGGCAGAAGGAAAGGGAGAAACAGGCTCCCTGCTCAGGGGGAGGGTCCTGGGATGCGGGGCTCGATCCCAGGACCCTGAGATCATGACCTGAGCCTAAGGCAGACGCTTAACTGACTGAGCCACGCAGGCATCCCAAAAACCAAATAATTTCTTATTATAACTCAGTATGTCTCATGAATCTGGCTTCTGGTTCCTACTTTCCTTATCAAGCACTTTACATATCATGGTCCTACATTTTAATTCTATTCTCAAGGCCCATTGCTTCTTTCTTTCTTTCTTTCTTTTTTGTAGCAGACAGCATTGGTGGTAGTAAAGAGAGCAATCCCTTGGTGACTGTGTGACCCCAGAGTGGGAAGGCTGGGGTGACTTGCAGCTGTTAGACACACTGATACCAGCAGGAGATGAGTTGTAGCTATTTTTCATGGTCAATTCTAATTTTTTTTTTAATTTTTATTTATTTGACAGAGAGACAGTGAGAGAGGGAACCCAAGCAGGGGGAGTGGGAAAGGGAGAAGCAGGCTTCCCGTGGAGCAGGGAGCCTGATGCGGGGCTCGATCCTAGGACCCTGGGATCATGACCTGAGCCGAAGGCAGACGCTTAACAACTGAGCCACCCAGGCACCCCTCATGGTCAATTCTGTCCTCCCCTGTATTTCACAGGTTGAAAAAAATATCAATGTTAAGAAGAGAAAGAAAGAAAAATGGAATAGCAGTGGGCACAACTGTGGTTTATAATAGTTTCTGATCATTCTGTATCATTCAACTTCCCAATTCCTTAACCTTTACTCATCCTTCGCTCTACTCTCACAGAATTGCTTGAATCCTCAAACACCAAATTGTGGTCACTCAAGCTGACTCTGGAGGTGGCAGCTTGGTTCATCTTGCTTATTTTCATCTTGGAGATCCTTCTTATGTGGATATCCAGCTTTTTCCTCTTCTGGAAGAATGCCTGGAATGTCTTTGACTTTGTTGTCACCATATTGGTAAGTATAGATATCCTGAGGATTAGTTTAGTGGGTTGAGGAATGAGCCTAGGTGAGTCAAAATGACAGGAAAAGTTAATTAGATCAGAAGAAGAACGTCATTATTTTGATTTTTTTTTTCTAAAACTGAAGTCAATCATTGCAGCAGTTGTTGGTATTAGGAGCAAGACAGAATCTAACCACAACATTAGCCCCCAACAAGAACATCTACCAGTTACTAAGCACTTACTAAGTGCCAGGGACTGTTCTAAGTGTTTTATGAGTATTTTCTCATTTGAGCTCCACAACAACCCAATGAGATAAGCACTGTGCTTATCCCCTTTTTATGCTGGAGCAAACTGAAGTGCAGAGTTTAAGTAATTTAGTAGAGGAAGGCTCAATTGGAAACAGTCCTCAGAGAATGCTATTCCAGAGATAATGCCCAACTATGAAGAAGATGAGATAAAAAAGGGGTAATTGTGCATGGGTGCTTTGGGTACATTTTACTCATAATCTATGTGTTTCCCACAGTCCCTGCTTCCTGAGGTTGTGGTGCTGGTAGGGGTAACAGGCCAGTCTGTGTGGCTCCAGTTGCTGAGGATCTGCCGGGTGCTAAGATCTCTCAAACTCTTTGCACGATTCCGTCAAATTCGAGTCATTATTTTGGCCCTGGTGAGGGCTCTCAAGGTGATTTGACTGTTGCAGCTAAACCAACTGGGCAGGGTGGATAAACATTGGAATTTAACATAAAACAAGTCTGGGTGGGTCAAAGAGGTCAACAAGGGACCCTATGAAATGTCATTGGATGAGAAAGGGCTGGGGAAAGCTGCTGTGGTCTAGAGATAACTGGACTTGGGAGTGGAAGTGAGGGTTTTGGTGGGGGATTGCCAGGGTGGGCTTGACTCTGCTGTGGGGGGAATCAGCCTAGTCTGGCCCAACTCTGACTCGAGGTCATGGCCTCTAGAGCATGACCTTCCTCTTGATGTTGCTGCTCATCTTCTTCTACATTTTTGCTGTGACTGGTGTCTACTTCTTTGAGGATTTCACCCGTTCAACTCGCCAGGACCTGAAGTACCACATGTTCTTCTCGTAGGCAGGACTGGGGGAATCGTGGGTGGGGGTAGAGGGTTTGGGCAAGAGACTGGGAAGCTAGTCCAAAGTAAGTAATACAAAAAGTATAGTCTATTGTAAGAAACTGGAATAGAACACAATAGGGAGAAAATAAGAGAAAGCAAAGGAATAGTGATTAGTATTAGCTCTGATTTTGAGGATAGGGTGGCTAGTTCCAGGTTTGCTCTGGGTTTTGAAATTTAAACATCCCCTCCTCAACCATCTTTAGGTGTTGTATTTAGATAGCAGTATACTCCAGTGATTAAGCTCTGGTTTCTATGCCTCAGTTACCTCTTTTGAAAAATGGAAATAATAGTTGCACTATCTCATAAGAGTGTAGGAATTAAAGTAATGCATTTTTGCACTTAGCACAGATTTTGACACAGTGTAAGTCATCAACACATGCTACTATGACTCTCAAACAGGTCACTGGTTCTACCCCAAAGTCTAAGTGTGGGGGTTACACATGCACACACCTAGACTCATTCAAAAGTAGAATCCTGATAAGATCTTTGTCTAGAGAACACTAATTGCCAGTCGAAAGTCAATTGGATTTAGATGAGATAATGTTATTTATGAATTGGAATCCGATCTTGTCAGCACCTCTTAGGTTTCAGACTAACAGGTAGCTTTGTAAGAATATTGAGTTAGGAGAGTCCTAAATATTCATCCATTTCAGGCCCTGATATTTTCAGTAAGTTGTATATGGAGGACTAGGAAGGAAAGAAGGAAAATTTAGATACCTTCCTGAGATCTTTTGTGGCACATTCATTGTTATTCATTATTTGGGATCACATGTTTATGTCACATACCTGTCCATTTACTTAAGAATCACCTCATACCAGGGAACTAAATAGGAATGATGTTTGCTAAATTTTTAAGTGATCTTCTGTTCGGTGAAGTCCACAGAAGAGTGAAGAATGAACTTACAAAAAAAGATATGCAGTTGGTGATTCATTCAGTTTTTAAAAATTCAGCCAGTACCTATTTATTGAGCACCTACTATGTTCCAGGCACTAATGGAATAGTGAGAGATATTCATGGATTATTCATGATAAAGGAAAACCTAATAAAACAACTGCAAACTGAAGAAAGCTTAGCTAAAAAATAGTTAGAAAAGAAGCCAAAGTCAGAGCAAACTACAAAGAAATGTTCTTGTTTTAAGAGTAAGAAAATACGTTTCTGAGAGATTTAGATCTCTGTTCTGTCTGTACCCACACGTCCTTTTTCTCTAGGGACCTGCTGAATTCCCTAGTGACAGTGTTCATCCTCTTCACCATGGACCATTGGTATGCACTGCTTCAGGATACCTGGAAGGTGCCTGAAGTCAGCCGTGTCTTCAGCAGCATCTATGTCATCCTTTGGTTGTTACTTGGTTCCATTATCTTTCGAAACATTATAGTAGCTATGATGGGTAAGCACAGAAGAGGGGAAGCTTGGTTGTGAGGGGTAGCAGGGAAGAAATTGGGTGAAAGTTAGGATTGGTAGATTATGTATAGAGAGAACCTGAGGTAGCAGGAAGGCTTGGGGCCTGGAATGGATATTTCACTTGGTTTCGCCCCACCCAAGCCCTCTCCCCAGGTCTATTTACCACCACATCCCAACTCCTAATGGCCCTTCGGGGCAGTTACTAACTTCCAGAATATCAGGAATGAGCTGAACGAGGAGATGACACATCTGGAGGTTCAGCATAAAGCCGACATATTCAAGCGGCAGATTATCCAGAGGTCTGCTGCCCCATTTTCAAACTCAAGTTTAGTTCTGAAGGGTATCCCAACCTCATTCCCTTTTTCTACTCCTTGTCCTTGACCCCATTTTTCCCTTCCTTTCCACAGAAGATTTGCCCCAGGGTTAGAATTCCCCAGCTCTAGGAGCGCCTGGGTGGCTCAGTTGGTTGGGCGTCTGCCTTAGGCTCAGGTCATGATCCCAGGGTCCTGGAATTGAGTCCCACATTGGGCTCCTGCTAAGCGGGGAGCCCTCTTCTCCATTTCTCTCTGTCTGCGGCTCCCTCTGCTTGTACTCTCTCTCTCTCTCTCCATCAAATAAATAAAGTCTTTTTAAAAAAAGAGAGAGAATTCGCCAGCTCTAGAATATTGCCTGATTCTTTATCCGCTGTTGGGACTTTCCCACTCTTTTTCACCTTCTTACTACAATGTGTTCTCCTTAGTTTTCTTCATTTTATGATCTGAATTCTTTTTTCCTTACCATGCTCCTGCATCAGTATAACTCTCTTCACTCTTCTGTGTTTTTTGCTTTACAGGAGACAAAACCTGTCCCCTGAAGCAATGAGGTCAAGCCTAAGCAAAGTGGATGCCAGGTTAGGAGTGTAAATGTGAACTGGGATAGACAAACGTGAAGGAGGAGAGGGTAGAAAACCAAAGATGAAGATTGACTTTGAGACATAATCCATTTATTCAATAACTATTTATTGTAGTAGGTTGAGTGGTGGCCCCCCAAAAGAAATATCCATGTCCTAACCCCCTGGAACCTGTGAACATGACTTTATTTGGTAAAAGGGTATTTGCAGATGCAATTAAGTTAAGGATCTTGAGATGCAATCATCCTGGATTATCCAGGTAGGCCCTAAATGCAGTGACAAAGGCCCTTATAAAAGACAGAAGAGGAGAAGACACAGACCTTGAAGAGGAGAAGATGTGAAGATGAACATAGAAATTGGAGAATTGGAGTGATGCAACCACAAGCCAGAGGAAGCCAATGAATGCTAGGCAACTGCCAGAAGCTAGAGGAAGTAAGGAACCTTCTCCCCTAGAGCTTCCAGAGGGAGTATGGCCGTGCTGACACCTTGATTTCAGACTTCTGTCTTCCAGAATTGTGAGAGAATAAGTTTCTGTTATTTTAACCTACCAAGTTTGTGGTAATTTATTAAAGCAGCCATAGGAAACTGATACAAGTACCTTCTATGAGACAGATGTTATTCTAGACCCTGAGTATTCAGCACTGGACAAGAGAGCAGAAGGAGAAACAAGAAACTCATTCATCCATTCAAGAAATAATTATTTTAGGGGCACCTGGCTGGCTCAGTTGGTAGAGCGTGTGACTCTTGATCTTGGGGTCATGAGTTCAAACCCCACATTGAGCATGGAGCCTACTTAAAAAAATAATTATTATTATTTATATAAACTTTTTTTTATGAAGTAAACTCTACACCCAACATGGGGCTTGAACTCATGATCCCAAGATCGAGTCACATGCTCTACTGACTGAGCCAGTCAGGCGCCCCAAGAAATAAATATTGCACACTCATTAGGTGCTTGGACTGTATCAGTGAACAAAAGAGGCAATAATGCCTGTTCTCATGGAGATTACATACAGGCAAGGGGAAAGAGACAATAAACAATGAATATATAAAATGAGTAAATTAATATATTAGAATATGATAAGCATTATGAAAAAATAAAAAATAGAATAGATAAAAAGGGATTGTAATATAGGGTGGGGATTGCAGATGGGTTATAATTTTAAAGAAGGTAGTCAGGATGGCCTCATTGAAAAGGTAATATTTGAACAAAGACTTAGAGGAGGGGAGGGGATTACTGTGTGGCTATCTATGGGAAGAGTGTCATAGGCAGAGGGAACAGCTGATGTGCTTGAAAAACATCAACGAAACCACTGTGACTAGAGCAGGGTGACCAGTGGGGGAGAGTGATAGAAGATGAGGTCAGAGAGATAATGGAGACCTCATCCTGTAGGGCTATGAGGGCCATTATAGAGACTTAGGCTTTCACTCTGAGAGAAATGGAGAGCAGCAGAGTAGAGCAGTGACATGAAGTGACTTACATTTAAGAAGAATTTCTCTGGTTGCGGTGTTGATGATGCACTGTAGAAGAACAAGGGAAGAAGCAGAGAGACGAGTTAGAAGGCTAAAGCTATCCAGGCAAGAGGTGATGATGGCTCAGACCAGAGTGGTACCAGTGAGAAAAGATGTATTTTTAAGGTAGAATCAATAGGATCTCTTGGTTGATCGGATGGAGTGTAAGAGAAGAGTTGAGAATGACTCCAAAGTTTTGGCCAGAGTAGCTGGAAGGATGGATTAGCTGAGATGGGGAAGGCTGGGAGTGGAAGAGGTTTGATGGGCAAAGAGTTCAGTTTGGGTTGAATTTGAGATGTCTATTAGACATTCAGCTGGTGATGATATGTGAGTAAAAGTTGTATATCCAAGTCTGGATTGAGGAGTGAAATCTGGACTAGAGGTTTAAATTTGCATTTGGAAGACATTTAAACTCAGGAGAAGAGATCACCAAAGGAATGACTGTAGATGGGGAAGATTAAAAGGTCAAGAGCTGAGCCTCAGGGCCCCTCAAGATATAGAGCTGAGGGGGCAAAGCTATAGTTGTGGTGTAACAGGCATAGAGCTACAGAACGAGGAGCCAAAACTTAGCAAAATAAGGTGGAGTGTGGAACGCAGGGCCTGAGTAAGATGGAACACGGAAGCTATGTGGTGAGGGGCACTAGCAGGGATATACCACACAGGATGGTTGAAGTTGGAAGTGCTAAAAAGCTCAAATTTTGGGAGCAGTTTGGCCCTCATGACCTTAAGTCCCAACTCCTGGGGATGGCAAGGGCCAGGGCCGGCGTAATGAAAGGACTAGCCATATCTCATAAATGTATTTGAAGGAATAAAATGTCTCCTTTCACTTATAGAGATGCCAGCCAACAAAGAGAACCTTTGGACTTATCACAAGCTTTTGAAGAAGAGTCTAAACACAGTGCTGATAAAGAGGGTTCAAGAACATCTGCACCGAAAATAAAAGAGTCCTTGTCAAAAACGAAAAAGTCCTCATCTTCCTCCTCCTCCTCCTCTTCCTCTTCTTCCTCCTCATCTTCATCTTCCTCCTATTCCTCTTCTTCTGAGTCCAGATATTTAGGCTCCATTGGTAAGCAGAGTTTCTTTCATTTGAATTCAGACTCCTCCAGGAGACATCCCAATCTTAATAGGAGCTCTCCCACTATATCTGCTTCCCAGTTTTCTCCACCAGTCTGATTTTCTGGTCTTAATTGCTTACTTTGTGCTTTCTTTCGTTCCCCCGGTACTTCTGCTTTACTTTGGGTAAGTGTGGCCGTGGCTGTCTTTGCTTACTATAAAACGTTGTCTCTTGGTGATGTTCCCTTTTGCCTCCCTGATTCCTGTTTACTCTTGCAACCCTGCTTCCTCCCCCCGCCACCCCCCCACCCCACATGATAGGATCTATTAGCTCTTATCCAACTTCCACAGATCTAGACATGTTTTTAAGAAGCATTCCTCCCTCCAGGTCAGTTGGACTGGGAGACTCATGTGCACCAGAATCTGCCTGGGCTAATGGAAATGGATCAGGATGACCGTGTCGTTTGGCCTAGAGATTCACTCTTCCGATATTTTGAGTTGCTAGAAAAACTTCAGTATAACCTAGAGGAGCGTAAGCGGTTGCAGCAGTTTGCAGGTATGGATTCAGGGAAGCCATGGGGACCAGGGGTTAAGTACATTGGAGTAACATATTGGACTAGCATATATAACTGGGGAGAGGGAGGAGGGTGTCCACGATTTGGGCATTTCAGCTTCTGAATTTCCACCTCGCACTTAAAAAGGCAATTCCTTGGTTTGGTATGTCACATTCTTATGTCCTGATTTCTTATAATCTAGAGAGAAACTGACAGCTTTGCTTCTCCAGTAGGGAAAACCTAAATCCTATGAGGTCCGAGAGCTTATTTCCCAAGAGGAACTAGTGTCCAATTGCAGGTGTTGGGTGTTAGTATAAGGTGGGCTCTTGCTCGGTTTGTGCAGTGCGCTCCCTTTTGGACCTGTTTCTGCTCTCTGAAGGGCATACTTCAGACCTGAGTGGTAGGGCCTCACTCTCAACTTGGATAGCAACGGGAATCAAGACAGTGAGCAGAGAGCTCACAACTGCCCACTGCTCCCAGGCCCCAAAAGAGGTTTATGAATTGTAGGCTTTTCTTCCTTTCAGACCCTTCTAGTGTCAGCCTAGGCAGAGAGAAGTATGTACATTATTTAAATAGTAGAGTTAATTTAAGTGGAAAACTACTTGCTCAAAATTATTTCCCCTAAATTTCTCCTTTGAAATTTCACCGAGAGATGAATGGCGTTAATAAATTCTCCCTCTAAAAATACAAAAACTGGAAAAGTTAGGGGCCATTTTTTGTAATTTAATAGGGATTAGTCTTGTCTTTCTCATACCTAATTGAAATTAACTTAATGTGAAAATAACAATGAGGGAAGAGGAATGTGTGTGTGGCAGACATAGGAGGGCAATCAGAGGAATTTATAACAGTGAAACATGAAATTTCGAGCAGGATGTCACAGACAGGCTTTGCCTGCTTCATAATCTTGCCTAAGGTTAATCCTGCTCTTTCCAGTTGTCCTCAGTCCTGCCTTCACACTTGCTCTCCAGGTAGAAACAGGGTGAAAGAGAGGAAAAGGAGCAAGGTAGCTTCTTTAATCTGGGTTAATTCATCCATGGCAAAGAGTACTGCCTCATAGGGCTTAATGAAAATAAAGGTTCGTAAAGATTTGTGTGGGAGCCTAGAGCCCAGAAAAGCAGAGTCTTTAAACATTTGTATGTCCTGAATATTCTTAGCTTTGTAGCCTCACAGCCCTGTCTCTTTACAGTGCAGGCACTGATGAACTTTGAAGACAAGGAAAGCTGACAACGGATGGCTTTGATTTCTTTGGCAAAAATTAATGAAAGGAATAGTTGGAAATGGAGAACTCAAAGTATAAATGTCTAATAAATACTGTTGATAATTACTTAGTGGTCTGTCTCTGAGACATAGGGAATACTGAAATGTTTAAAAGTCAGGCTGAAAAAATTAGTTCAGGTGCCAGTGGGGCCCATGGTCCTTGCCTTTCTACTCTTTCTACAGCTCCTGAAACTCACATCTTTCTTGACTTTGTCGTTGTAACCCCCACCCTTCCTGCAACCTCTACTTCCTGGTAGAGTCCTAATTTTACCGTCTCCCTCCCTGATGGGTACAGGCCTCTGGGGGTGGGAGGGTAGAGATCGCAGGAGCTGTACAGTAAATAATTGAGAACTATTGTTTCCATTGCCTATTCTATGAACATTGCTTCTCCTATGCACCATTAACTTTCATCAAACATCAGGGTGCCTGGGTGGCTCAATTGGTTAAGCCTCTGACTCTTGATTTCTCTTCAGGTCATGATCTCAGGGTCGTGGTATCAAGCCCCTTGTTGGGCCCAGCACTCAGTGCAGAGTCTCCTTGTCCCTCTCCCTCTGCTCCTCTCTGCCACTCATGTGGGCTCTCTCTCACTCTCTCTCTTTCTCTCTCAAATAAATAAATAAATAAATAAAATCTAAAAAAAAAAGCTCTTTAATCAAACATCATTTGATTAAAGGGTCCCTTTATGGGGCACCCGGGTGACTCGGTTCAGCATCTGGCTTTTGATTTGAGCATCCACTTTCAGCTCAGGTCATGATCTCATGAGTCATGGGATCCAGCCCCAGGTTGGGCTCCTCACTCAGCGGCGGAAGATTCTCTCCCTCTGCTTGTCCCCCCTACTCACTCACAAGTGAGCTCTCTCTCTCTCTCTCTCAAATAGAGAGAGAGACCATGGGAGGGGAGACAGAGGGAGAGGGAGGGCAGACTCCCTGCTGATTAGGGAGCAGGACCCTGGGATCATGACCTAAGCTGAAGGGAGATGCTTAACTGACTGAGCCACCCAGGCGCCCCTAAATAAATAAATCTTTTTTTAAAAAAGGGTCCCTTTATTCCATTTCCTTGCTGTTGCTCCAGGCAGTGATTCCACTATGTAGGAATGTTCAAATCAGTAACTGTCCCATAGATTTTTAGTGTTAGAAGAGAGACCTCAGAGTTCATTTATCTCCCATCAAATCAGGAACACCTTTTAGAACATCACTGAAAGGGGGTACCCAACTGAGGCTTAACGTTTCTAGTTACTGGGGATTTATTATCTAGAAGGGATCCCATTCCACTGTTGGATGACTCAAGTCTTTACAAATATTTGTTACTAAACATTCTGTCATTTATTGAGTGTTTAACATGCACGAGGAGATATATATATTCATACATAAAAAACACTGAGTTGGGGGCGACTCACCGACTGAAGTAAAAATTGTCTAAAACCAAAAACCAACGTTATGTTACAAGGAAAAGCATTTTAGTTACTACCCATAAAATGAGAAACAAAATAAAAATGTTTTAAAATAAATGTCAATATATAATATGTATTAAAAATCCTATCGTGGGTGCCTGGGTGGCTCAGTCGTTAAACGTCTGCCTTTGGTTTGGGTCATGATCACGGGGTCCTGGGATCGAGTCCTGTGCTGGGCTCCCTGCTCCTCAGAAACAGGGAGCCTGTTTCTCCCTCTGCCTCTGCCGCTCCCCCCTGCTTGTGTTCTCTCTCTCTGTCAAACAAATAAATAAAATTGTTAAAAAAAAAATCCTATCATAAGAAAAAAAAATCCTATCATAAGAAATAGGGTATGACTATTTGGAAAGAAGAGAGGGATGGGTAAAACAGGTGAAGGGGAGAGCTAGGGGGAGAAAGATGGCGGAGGAGTAGGGGACCCTATTCCAACTGGTACCCGGAATTGAGCTGGATATCTACCAGACCACTCTGAGCACCCACGAAATCAGCCTGAGATTTAAGAAGATCTGGATCTCTACAAACAGAATATCACAGACGGTTGGTTTCGAGGCTAATAAAACAATTTCTAAGACTTAAAAAAACAAAAACAAGAAAAACAGGTGAAGGGGATTAAGAGTATGTTTATTGTGATGAGCACTGAGTAATGTATAGTTAAATCATTATATTGTACACCTGAAACTAATATAACACTGAATTATACTTGAATTAAAAAAATCTAAAACAACAACAGCAATAAAAAAAACCAACAAAAATTTATTTGGAAATTAAAACTAGAGGGGCGCCTGGGTGGTTCAGTCAGTTAAGCATGTGACTCTTGATTTCAGTGGCTCAGGTCATGATCTCAGGGTCCTAAGATTTAGCCCTGCGTGGGGCTCCATACTCAGCACAGAGTCCGCTTGAGAGTCTCTCTCCCCTCTGCCCCTCCCCCTGCTCTCTTCCTCTCTCTCCTTCAAATAAATAAATAAAAATCTTTAGAAAAACTAGAAATACTATTTTTAGATAAAATTGTATACCTAGAAACCCCAAAAGAATCAAGAATTAGAGCTAACAAAGGATTTCCGTTAAGTACAAACAGAAGAGGGTTGGAGAAAGAAACCTGGAAAACAGAAACGTTTAAGGAATAGAAGGAGGAAGAAGAGTCCAAAAGAAGCCTGAGAGGGAAGAGCTGAAGAGACAGAGGATAATCATTGTAGAGTAATGTTCTTGGAGCCAAGATAGAATTTCAAGAAAGGAATGGTCCAGTCAGATCTGGACTGGAGCATCCATTGAGCCTGGTAATCGGAATTCAATAAATCTAGTAAGACAGAGTAAGGAAATACTATTTAATAAATCTTACATATGATATTCACAAAGTAGATGCTCATTGAGCAGCATCTTTGAGTAGCTTTGCTCAGAGTGAATCTGAGGACCAGCAGAATTGGCTTCATCTGGTAACTTGTTGGAAGTGCAGGATCACAGGTCCCATCCTCAGGGTCCTATTGAATCAAGTGTTATATATGCATGTTAAAGTTTCCAAAGCACTTCTTTATAGGTATTTAACGACATCCCCTCTTGGCTTTCTATAGCTGACTTTTTCAAATGAATGGTCTATGCAGGCTGCTTCATTTTTTAACTCCTTAATGAAAATGATCTGGTTTCAATTCTACCAGAATGGAAGTTTATTCAACAAATACTTGTTGAGTTCCTATGTTCCAGACACTGTTCTAGACATTAGGATACATCAACGAATGAACAGGACAGAAATTCCTGCCCATCCTAACTAGTTCCTCATAAGATCACCAGGTAATAAATGATAAGTTCCATGAAGACTGATTTTACCTCCTCCCATTTCCCCCCAAATATCCTTCTAGCAGCCCAGAGCCATGTGATAATAGCTGTACAAAACCAAAAACAAGCCAAACCTTTTTTGTCTAAAGACAAATATTCTCAGGTTGAAAAACAAGCCCCACTGGCAATGAAGCCATTATTCTTCTCCATTCCTTTTATCCCTGCCCTGAGTGTCCCTGCTATAGGAATACCCCACTATTCCAAAGGAAGAGATTGAAGCTCTATGCCAGATAATAATGAGCATTCTTCGGGAACATTTTGTAAGTGATGTTATGACTTAGATATTGTTGTGTTATAACAAAATTAAAATTTTTTTCACATGTGGTTTGAATTGAGCTTCTATTTTAGAGCAGAGTTTCCCCCCTTGATCTCCAGTTATTACTTACATCTTCAAATACCATACTGGAACTCAAACTAATGTGTTGCCACTTGGAAACAGAAAAATTAATATTTGTTTTATTATAGCATAAGGTATATAAAAATAATTCAAGAAGGAAAGAGAAAAACTTACAACAGTACAGCTTCTACCTACTGTATTACCGTAATAACTTTAACTTCTATTTTTTTAAAGTTCAACATGGATTATTAGTTATGAATCTACATTAATTTTGCTTTATTATAATTTATCTATATATTGTAATTGTGTCTTAAATTTAATATGAAAGTTCCAAATTTTTAAAAAACGTATTTATTATACTTTCAAAGATTTAAAACCTCAGAGAATCAGTAGGTCTCAATCCACCTCATTTCTTGAGACTTTGTACTATACTAGTTGGCCTACTGTTTACAAAGGGATTCATTTCTTTTTTCAACAAAAGTTTTCATGTTCTTTATGTCCCAGCCATGATGTTCAGTTTTGAGGATAGAAAAACTGTTCAGGGGACGCCTGGGTGGCTCAGTCATTAAGCGTCTGCCTTCAGCTCAGGTCATGATCCCAGGGTCCTGGGATCGAGCCCCTCATCGGGCTCCCTGCTCTGTGGGAAGCCTGCTTCTCCCTCTCCCTCTGCCCCTGCTTGTGTTCCCTCTCTGGCTGTGTTTCTCTCTCTGTCAAATAAATAAATAAAATCTTTAAAAAAAAAAAGAAAAGAAAAACTGTTCAGGGTATGAATGCAAGCCTTTTTAAAGGCCATTTTTGGAGAGATTTCTGTTTTTTACTATGACAAGTAGAAATTTCACAATGTTTTACATTTGTATTTTTCCTATTTAGGTGACTTAGGGTGGGATGAAAATTTTTAACTTTTTTTTTTTTAAGAGAGAGCACATGCATGAGCTGGAGGGGAGAGGCAAAGGGAGAAGGAGAGTGAGAATCTTTTTTTTTAATTTTTTTATTGTTATGTTAATCACCATACATTACATCATTAGTTTTTGATGTAGTGTTCCATGATTCATTGTTTGTGCATAACACCCAGTGCTCCACGCAGAATGTGCCCTCTTTAATACCCATCACCAGGCTAACCCATCCCCCCACCCCACCCCCAGAACCCTCAGTTTGTTTTTCAGAGTCCATGGTCTCCATGGTTGGTGGAGAGTGAGAATCTTAAGCAAGCTCCACAGTCAGCGCAAAGCCCAACACAGGGCTTGATCTCACAACCCTGAGATCATAACCTGAGCCGAAATCAAGAGTCAAACGCTTAACTGACTGAGCCACCCGGGGCGCCCCAAACATTTTTACCTTTTTATTTTAAAGTAATTTGAGGCTCACAGAAGAGATGCAAAGGTAGTTCCTAGGTACCTGTCACCCAGCTTTCTCTAGTATTAACATCTTACATAACCAAGATATAATAATCAAAAT